TCCTGAATACCAAGCCACGTAACACAGCCTTTATCCCGCAGCTGAGAAGAGTTGTGGGAACAGACTGACAAGGCAAAAAATATATTATAGCTAAGGTTTAAACAGTCTACATGTTAGACTCAGACCCTCAGGTGTGCTTGGCTTCATCTGTAGTGTTTTAAAAAGCTGAATACCTCTAGACAAGTAATGGAAACCTTCTCCCTATCACTCTACAACTAAGTCATTTCATTTACTTCTATTACCTGATTGGTCCCTTTGGGTATCAGTTTGAGATCCCAAGTCTATACAGTGCTAATGTAAGGCCATTTGGAAGGGGAGAAAAAGATGACAGGAGGGATGGGGAAACTCATCAAGTAGCTATCGCAAAAGTCCAGGAAAAGGCAGTGAAGATGTAAATGAAAAGAATGATTAAGATGGAAAAGAAAAGGAGCTGGGTGCAAGAGACACGACAATCCAGAGAAGCATTAATTAACTAGAACATTTAGATAAAGGGCAGGATAAGAAAGAAAGGCAAAGATGAGACCATCTGGCACAAAGAAAAGACAGGTAATCCCTGATCATTCTTTAGGGGCCCTTTAGACACTTACATAAATCCTAGGTCACCCATTTTCCACGAACCCTCTTATGTTATTGGAAGACTGAATTTCTTCCATTGTGAGGAAGCTGAACTTCCCCTGCTCCCCTCAAGAGGGCCATTTTGGGCAGAACAACCATGACTGCTGTTTCTAAGACCCTCCTTTGTCCAAGATCTATAGAACAGCTACCCACATGATTTCACAGAATACTACTGCTTAGACCTAGCCTCCCATCTTACCTTGGTAAGGGAATCCCACAGTGGTTAGTCTTAACGTAACTTAACTTGTCTCAGAAGTCACTTTGATTAGACAGCTTCTCTGAAGATAAACCCAATAGCAATTTTGGGTTGTCATCTGTCTCTGCATCAGAAAGTTCTAGGTTATGTCCTCCCCTATTCTGTTTCCTATGAGACAGGTAGACCTGAAGACACCTAAGCGAATGTTACCAATACAGATCCAAGGCAGGGCACATATTTTGCCCTCGTCCAGATTAAAAACTTTCTACCCAAGCAGTAGCAAAGTGGCTTCTTCTTCAGCTACCACATTATGACAATATTTCTAAAAACAAAAATCACTTGAATCTGAAGCATCTAATATAGTTTTCTGAACATACGACATCCCTGCAAATAAATGACACATGTATATGTTAATGAAGAAAAATGAATGGTTTACCTCCATATGGCATATCATGTTGCTAAAATCTACTCACAAAGGGGATCTCTGAATTACATACTAAGATTATTTCCCATGTTAAAAGATAGATTAATTTTGGTAAAATTTACCCGATATTCGATGTGTCACTTATTTAGAAAACAAAACAACTCCCTTACCCCCACACTTGTCATAGTCTACTATAAGCTGAGTGGACTTTTATTAGCAGAACAGGGTTCAATCATAATGCCACCTTGAATTTGTACAGCGTATTTCTTCTCTCAGGTTTTGACGCCAGGAACAGCTGAAGAGTTTAAAAAGAAGATAATGTAACCCTCTCAGGTTCCAGAATCAAGGAAGTCAATGATTTATTAGCATTACCAGGTTCCTGGGTAAAGTGGGTTTCGGGTTCTGACATTAAAATAATCAAGTCAGTATATTATGGGTATTTCAATAAAATTTCATCTTTTCCCAAAAACTAGTATACTCAAATCCAACAGACAACAGTTGCAGTCAGACAACTGTTAGACTGCAGGCTCCATACGTACAGGGTCCTTATCCGGAGTTTTAACTCTTAATCACTGCATCTGTAACGTCGTGGCACTTGCATAGAAGTTACTCTCATAAAATTTACCAAATGAGGAAATAAATCAGTGAATCTCTCCAACGTGCTGCCTGACACTGCACATATGATAAACTTTCTTAAAAATCTATGAAATGAGCATAAATGTTTTTGATGCTTTTCTAAACAGAGGAGATTATACTTTCGATGATAGTGCGTCACGCTCTTTTTTACATAAGAAAAAACAGCAATGCTTCAGATATGAAGCTATCATTTTACTTAGCAAAATTATTTTGGATTTGAAAAAGCTTCCCAAACCTAGAAAAGTTTCATTTACACATGTCTCTATATTAATGAATTAAATTACTATAGACATTTTTATATATTTTGTATGAGATTTTGTGTAAATTATTTCATTTTATGTGATGAATCTAATTGTCTCAAAAAACACAACTAACAAACGCTTCCATGGGGCTGGCAGTGGTTATCAAAGCCAAGTTCCACTGGGGCCAGGGCTGAGCAATGCAGAAGTGGCAAGAAAACGAAAGCAGAGAGACAAGAAAAAAGGGAAAAACTGGCGATGAAAGAACACCCCATTACATTCTACCAAAAACCTGGTGGCGGAAAGAGTGACAAGCAGCTAAGAAATCTGTGAGGGGCGGAGCCACTAAGGGAGAAACTAAGGAGAAACAGATTTGGGAGAAAGAACAGCACAGAGATGTGGGGGAAAGTAGTCTCACGAGCCTCAGTGGTTCCTGAGGGCGTGAAAAATACTATTCCTGAGTATTATTTAGTTATTAAGAAATTATGTTCTGTATCCTCTACTCACAAGACCATGGAGGCATGAAAAATATTTAAAAAACAATTCCAGCAAAATTAGTGACGTGCGCAGCAGCCCCCATAAGGCCAAGAACTTCATGATTCCCTAGTGTATCCTCGCCCCCGACACATGGAAGATCCTTAATACAATTTTACTGAAAGCATGAAACAAAGTGTTTGGATTAAAAAAAGTTTGCCTTATAAGCAAACCCACTATTTCCTGAATAGTTTACGTAGCATAGAACCTCACCCTTAAGGTATTAAGGAAATAGTAAGCATTAGTGATTTTTAGTTTTGAAATTTTAAAAACTCTTTTCCTGACAAAGTTAGGCAGATTTTATTAAAGTTTATTTCCCAGAATGAAGAAGGAAGTATCCAGAAACAACCTGTTTAGCATTATCATAGGAAAGTAAATTAGTTTTGTAAATCATACGTAGCTTTTGGGCTTCTTAAAACAGCACAACTTAACAGACCAATAGCATTTTAGGAAAGGGGACCATCTCGTTTAAAAAGTAACTTCACAGGAAAGACAACTCCAAAATGTAAATGCACATAGTTTCCACTGCTAGGCGTTAGGTAGGAAAAATTAACATTAGGAGTTTGAGGAAGGAATATTCCATTTAGCTGTTATACAACATCAATTCAACAGTAATCCCCACCAGAAATGTTCTTTAAGGTAGGGAGACTCAACAGGAGCACTCTGATCTTCTTCACAGTTTATACCTAAAAAGGTAAAACCAGACCTTATGTCTTTTCTCCATAAGGTCACCTTGATTATTGGCATGAAAAGAAGCAGTCAGATAATGGTAACCTTTTGGTATTAAAGCCGGATTTGAATATGGGTGTAACTTCTGTTTTGATAATTCCCTGTACCAGAGGTCTGGCAAAAGCAAACAAGAGAAGGAATACTGGTTCAGTGCTGTACTATTAGCTCTATTAATTTTTTTTTTAAATGTGGTAAAATAAAATTACCTTTTTAACAATTTTTAAGGGTACAATTCATGGCATTAATTACAGTCACAATGTTGTGCAACCATCGCCAATATCTATTTCTAAAATTTTCATCCCTCCAAACCGAAACTCCACACTCATTAAGCACTATTAAATAATTTTAAGAAAAAATTAAGAAGAAAAATCATAGTTTATGGAGGATTGACCATAAATGGCAATAAAAAGATCTGATTAAAATAAACAAAAGAATGAATACTGGGTCAAGTGCTTTACTATTCTACCTAATTTTGTCAAGAAAAAATTAAGAAGACAAATCATAATTGATGGAGAATTGACTATAAGTGGCAATAAAGGAAGCTAGCAATAAAACTGTTAATTATCCTAGAAAGCTTTTACAAGGCTCCATTTTCATGTGTATTTTGCTGTCTACTTTGGCTTGTACTTTTCCATTTCCCACTGGAACTTTTTTTTTCAATGATAAGGCAGAATTAGAAAACAATGGACATAAATAGGACATAAAAGCTTATTGGAAAAAAATGTAAGATGAAGAAGAAAGGTAGTTAGTATCCTATTTTGCAGAGGAGGAAACAGAGACTAGAGAGGTAATAGTAACTTCATAAGGCTGCTACCCGGTGGAGTCAGTATCTGAACTTGGGCTGTGAGACTCAGCTCTTTCCACTACACCAGGTCACCCTCCCAAGGGGCTTCAGGTATGGCTTTTACCTTTTTTTTTTTTCTGAACTTAAAAAATTGTATTATCAAGCAAAGGAGAATGGTCACCTTGATCCTCTCCTCTCCTTTTTTTTTTTTTTTTTGGTTTTGATTAGCTGCATTACTGTTTAGAGAAACTTTAAAACTTTGAGTTATTTATAATATTTGATGTAGTCAAGTAGCAAGTATTGTTTGTTCAACCCTAGAGCTTATAAATTAATACTGTAAGAAAGAGAAGACTCACAACATGCAACTTAAGGCTTAAAAATCCATCCAGTATCTCCTAATCTTACCATATTTTAAAATGTTTCCTTCACTCTGGTATACTGTTTTAAAGAATTAAAAAATATATTAAGAAACAATGAGTATCTTCTAGATGAGAAGAAAAATGAGATTTCCTTACAGGTATGTAACTAATTTTGTCTTGATCATAATTCCCAGGACTGCCACATAAAAGTCACAGGAATATAAAAAATGGTATTCATAATGCTTACTGTACCCAGAGGCATAAAATATAACTTCTTGATGTATAAACATCATGATTAAAAGTCATTTTATTCAATACATGTAAATAAACAAAACTACTAATGATTAAAAGTTTACGTTAACTAAATTTTTCCCTCATATTTGAGAACAGGGAAAACTTACAAAAACAAGGCAACGTTTAGCATATATGTGCTATTAAATTTCATTTCACTTTTAACTGTACTTATATTAAATCTCAAATTTACCTCTGCAATCTCTATCCTTTTTGCAAGATCATCGAGAGAAAGAGAGCTATCATCGGAAGGCAGATTCTCCTGTAGACTATAGGAGGCTTCTTCAGGAGAAAGATCTTGAAGATCAGAGTCTTCCTCTTGGTTATCTTCGTATGAAAGGGAATCTTCAGTATCTTTCAAGCATCCTTCTAAAAGGCTGTTCAAATAGTCTTCTGTTTCTTTATTGACTTGGTCGTCCTTATCTCCCTTTTCCTCTGGGGCCATATACACTTCTGGAAGCACTGTACTTAAGTCAGATACTTTATTATTTTCACAAAGTACACTCTCAGAGCCTTCTGAGTCAGTCTGCTCCTGTGGTGATTTTCCATCACTGTCTGTGAGATCAGGTTGCTGCAGCTCATTTAATTCATTGTTCTCAAGCTGGTCTGTGGGCAACGCCTTAGAAGCATCCTGAAGTGGCAACCTGAGTTCCTTTCTTTGAATCTGTGAATATTTACCCTCAGAAATCAACGCAGGAGGTATGTGATGAGAGCCTGGTAAAATCAAGGGCTCTATCATTGACTCGCTGGTAAGCAACACCTTAGAGTCTTCAGCAACGCCCTCTATTTCAGCCACATCTTGGCAGGCCTCTGTTTGAGCCAGCTGCAAGTGGCTGTCACTCTCACAGGCATTCTCGGAGGAATGTGGCCCAGACCCGCTCCCAGCAGTCTCTGAGGGCTGGGCGTGGAGCTGCAGTGTGGCTTCAGCGCTGCAGAGCGGCTCCTCCGTGTGGTCCTTCCCTGCAGTTACCGGAAGGCTCCGAGGATTTGCCTGCCTGTCCATCTGATTACAGCAGAAACTGCTCTCCCCAGTCTCTTCTTTATGTTGGCTTTCTTTACTTGGTTCCAGGCCAAGACAAGTTTCACTCTCTGAAGACGAAGAAAAACAAGTTGTTTTAAGATTCAAAACAACACTTTGTACAGGAGGGAAGAGAAAAGGCATATGAATAATATGTGTGACACAACAATATTCTAAACCTCTCAAATGGATCTTCTATCTGTTGGATAATAGTGTCTTTAGGTGGAGGAAATATCCTAAATATTCAGTAAATAATCCTTTATATAGAAAAATTAACAGAGATTATTCAAAAACACGATAAGAATATGAATAAATAATTTAATCTTCATTATCATTGAAAAAATCATTTGTCAAAGGTTTAAAAGATATTCTTCTGAACCTTATTGGCCTTCTATATTTAAATGAATATTTTAAAGTACAGAAAATTATTTTCAGTATAGTTAAGACATGGCATATTTTTATTTATTTTTTTTTCCCCCAAAGCCCCAGCAGACAGTTGTACGTCATAGCTGCACATCCTTCTAGTTGCTGTACGTGGGACGCGGCCTCAGCATGGCCGGAGAAGCGGTGCGTCGGTGCGCGCCCGGGATCCAAACAGGGGCCGCCAGCAGCAGAGCACGTGCACTTAACTGCTAAGCCACGGGGCTGGCCCAAGACATGGCATATTAAGTAAATATTTTTACATGATGAACCTTAGTTATATACTTACATAATTTAAAGTGTAAGAAAAGTAATATTGGTTCTGATCTATTTAGACTAAATTAAGGAACATAAGTCTGTTCTGTTAATTTATTTAAGCATAATAGCTTTAATAATAACATTCTTAATGTGCTTGAAAATTACTTGCAATTTCTTAAAGGGAGGTAGTGGTATAAGGCATAAGTTTTGGCACCAGGTAGAAATGGATTTGAATTTTGACATCTCTTTCAATTTCTATATTAAATAAAGTCAATTTAAAATATTTTTCTTTCACTTTAATACTAAACAGTTAAGAATTTTCAGGGGCTGGCCTGGTGGCGTAGCGGTTAAGTGTGCATGCTCTGGCAGCCTGGGGTTCGCGGGTTCGGATCCTGGGCGCACATCAATGCATTGCTTGTCAAGCCATGCTGTGGTGGCGTCCCATATAAAGTAGAGAAAGATGTGCATGGATGTGAGCCCAGGGTCAATCTTCCTCAGCAAAAAGGGGAGGATTGGCATGGGATGTTAGCTCAGGGCTGATCTTTCTCAAAAAAAGAAAAAAAACCCAGAATCTTCACATATACAGTCACGTGCTGCATAACGAGGTTTCAGTTTACGATGGACTGCATATGACGGTGGTCCCGTAAGATTAGTATCATATAGCCTAGGTGTGTAATAGGCTATACCATCTAGGTTTGTGTAAGTGACAAAATCGCCTAATGTCACATTTCTCAGAACATGTCCCCGACGTTTTGTGGTGCATGATTGTATACTGAATGCCTACATTGGTAGGTAACAGAGAAGCGTGCTCACGATTCAGTCAGCTTATCGGTCCATTAGCATTCCTAACTATTGCAGGAGTTTTAGCTTTTCTAAAAAAGTGATATATTGTTTAATTTATACAAATAATGAGCCAAAGGTTAAAATCAAAGATGAAATATAGTGGTAGTTATATTCTACTTGGTTTTTCACTTATTGATACTTTAACAATTACCACTTGACAATGGAGGCGGGTACCATACCAAAGAAAAGGCAGTACTTAAACACCATCTTCTGATTTCAGCGAATCAGGGATGGAGGCTGGCCACCTCAACTCTGGACTCCTGAGTTCAGTAGCATTGTACTACTTCCCCCCACACCCTGACTCAAATATCAGATGAAGAGAGGACAAGGAAAAAGAAGTCACTTTTTGGGAGACTGCATTCCTTCTCTCTTCCCACCCCAAAGAATCACTCAAAGTTTGGGAGACTGCAAGAAAACACATGGACATTTTACTCCCCTAGGCTGTCTGCATCGCCACTGAGGTTAGAGCAGAGTGCCACAGCCAGGTGGAAAGGGGCCAAGCTCTCCTCCACAAGTTCTCAGTACCCAAAGGTTCAGAAGACAGCCTTCAAAACACATGCACAGGATTCAGAGTAAATGAGATTGAAGGCCACAGTTCCACTGGTACCATTAAAGCACAGGGCTGAGAGAACCCCACATCAGAGGAATGGGGTGTGCTGTCCCTAGCCCAGGGTCAGTTACCTAAAGGACTGCAAATACCTAGGAGAGCCACTTGGGAGTAAGCTCCTCCTCAGCTGGTCCTGCTGGAGCCACCACACATCCCCATAGATCAATCTGGACTCAGCCAAACGCACTATTCTAGCTGGCTCCAACCGAGAGCAGACCAGCCCCCCCGGGGAAGGAGAGCAGAGAAGAGCCTTGGATAAAATGAGACTTAAGTGTTAAGATGAAGTTTGGAAATGAATAGGACTAAGTCCTAAAGAATCAAAACAAGACTATTTAATAGCTATAAGTGATGAAAAGTTACAGAATCAGCCTGAGGTGCCACTACATGACTAGAAAGTAAGGTGGTTGATTGCAGTTACTGGACAAAACACGACCATTTTAATACTGTTTCTAGTGAACCAAGACATCACTTAAGTGATGAGTAATAAAGACTACCCACAGGTACTACATATTATTTATAAAATACCAGCCTGAAAACAGTTGCTTCATTCCATCATGTAGAAACAATACTGAATATGGAAAAAAATGCAGGTAATTTAAGACGCAAAAGGCAAGAGTTCCAAACTAGATCAGGAGAGTAGCTGCAGTTTATTTTTGATGCCATATAAAATCTAAGTTACATTTTTAATACATATTCAGTCCCCAAATCAAACATGACATATGCTATTTTATAATTTATGATGTCAAATATGCTTTGGGGGGAAAGGCTAACATTTGTCTTTACAAGTAATGAAGAACAGTCCCCTGCCTTACCCTCCCGATCTGTCTGACTCCTCTTCTCTGGGGACAGCCCCTTTCAATTCCTTTAGCTGTGTCTTCAGATTTACTCTCCATTTCTAGATAAGACTTATACGCTATTTACTGATTTTTCAGTTTTAGAGGCCACCTGCTGACTTTCCAATGTGGAAGAAGAGAATTAGTTCTCTTGGTTCTTTTCATTCCTTTCCCCCCGATGATACCTTATTTCCCCTCCTCCAGCTTCCCACTACAGTTCAACACAGTCCTGGGACAAATCAACATTCAAATGTTGACATTACCACGGCTCTGTAAATATTATTTACAACTGACCCATTCTGCGTACTACGATACCTTTTCCTTTCTCATTTATGCTTTGTTTTCCTTGGTGTTGATAACTGCCTCACTACTTTGTTACCAAGAAAAAAAACCAAAACCAAAAACCTTTATCTATGAATCTCCAAACTGTGAGAGATGTACAACTGTGGCATATGTACCAACAGATAATCTATCAGTTTTGAAACATATCCTTCTTGAGCTCCTGACCTGAAGCTGCTCTCCAGGTCTGCTACACAGGTATTGTCCTGGAATTTCCCTTCTCGGTGAGCCTAAGAACTCCCATTGGATCTATCTTGGAAAGTCTGTCATCTGAATCCCAGATCTTCCTCCTCGTTTATTCTTTCTTGGTGGAATATTTCCTAACAAAAGGTACAGGGAAGGTACATTTTTTAAGATTGTTCACATTTGAAAGTCTGCACTCCTTCACCCCTGACTAAACCTTTGCTCAGGTGAAGTTTTCCAGGTTAGAAATTGTTTTCTCTCACCATTCTGAAGGCACTGCTGTATTGTGTCTAGCTTCCAGTAGCTGCAAATAGTTTCCTACCGTTCTGAATACCAATCCCTTGTAACCTACATTTTCTTCCTGGAAGATTTAGATTCGTTTCTTTTTATCTGGTGTCCTGAAACTTCACAACGTTTCTCATTCTTTGTGTTGGTACTTGTTGGACTTTCAACCTGGAAACTTGCGGCCTTCAATTCTGGGAAATTTTCCTGTATTACTTCTTTGATAATTTGTCCTCTGCCATTTTCTGTTCTCTCTTTTTAGAATGCCTACAGTAGGATTTGGGGCCTCCTGGACTGATTATCTAGAACTTTTCTGTTATACTGTTCATCTCTTTGTCTTTGGATCAAGTTTCTGAGATACTGCTTCAATTTTATCCTTCAACTCTTCTAATTAATTTTTTATTTTGGCCATTATACTTTTTAATTTCTAAAAAATTTTTAATTTTCTGAATGCTCCTCTTTTAGAGCATCTTATTGTTTCCATATATCCAATATTTTCTCTAATTTCTGTGATAATATTCACTTATTTTTAAAAAGTTTTCATCTGTTCTCTGCATTTGTTTCCTTTGGTTTGTCTGTCTGATTCGGTCTCCATCATTCTTATTTGAGGTTTTCTTAAATGAGGCCACGAGCAAGACTGTGGTTAAAGGCAAGCTTTCTCCAGGAGTAGTCCTCAGTGTGAGACAAAGAGGGCCTAGGGCCATTCGTTGGGAGGCCTTTAATGTGAGTATTTGGAGGTTTTATCTCATAGACTAGTAGCCAGTTTTCCAGAGAGGAAGAAACAGACTTAGCTGCCAGAGTTCCAGATGTCAAATACAAAATGTCAGCTAAAGGTCTCGCCCTTCAGTCCGTAAGATTGTCATTCAATCCTTATTTTCCATATACCCCTTCCTTGAGTTGTTCCTGATTCCTGAGTCCAGAATTCCTCAAAAAATAAACCTTCAGCCTCCTGCTTGGTAGAGAGGGAATATAAAGGTCTAAGTGCTTCTTGAATAGTCTTTCAGCCCAACCTCCTGTTTCCAGTCCAACCCTACACCCTCGACTTCAGAGGTTCCCTCTGTGCTTCCAACTCCCATCCTTTCCAGGCAGGAATCAACCTTTTCCCTGTAGACACTTAGCTTTCAGCTTTCTCTGGTGTGCTAAGCCGGTTGCCACCCATCCATCTGCTTTCCAGTTTCCAAATTTTTCTGGGTGTCACACTGGCTGCTGTTTCCTTGCCAGTTCTGTCCGTGGGGGTTTCTGCCTTTTAAGAATCCCTTTCTGATGTTTTAATGGTGTTCCAGCAAAAAGTGGAGATAAATGTTTGATCCATTGTGTTTAACTAAAAATATTGTCTGAATTTCCCACAATTATGTATTATACTATAAAACTTACTATTGTTAATGCTTCTGTTAACATTAACACGAATTTCTGTCAACTGTCTCTCCTGAACCCAAAGATCTAGTGAAGTAAGTTTGCTATTCCCTATTGCATTAACTTCACACACACTAAAAAACACAACCCTACTATGATGAAATAAAAATAGAATAACAGCTAAGTGCATGACCAATATTTAATAAATACTGAATTAAAGAGGTAGTTCTAAAATGAGAAGTTAGCCTAAGTTCTAACACATGCTCTGTAGAAATGTACATGCCTTTGAGTTATTCTTTCATCTCCCATCGCCCATGAGTTCTCTTTAGGGAAAAATCCCCCCCACAATTCATGATATGGGACTAAAGCATTCATGAATTAATACTTATTTCTTATACTTTCTGAATATCTCATTAATTAACATTAAGTACAAACATTTGAGTGGTATCAGGCTTGAGAAGAAAGTTTTCACAGTAAATATTTATTTTAGCAGACTGGAAAAAAAGTCCTTAAACAAAGTCTGAAATGTTGATAACAGAATTATTAGTACATCTTCTACAGAGGATAATTCAAAACTAAAAATGTACATAACCTGTTATCAAGGAAAAGCAAGTTAAAACCACAATGACATACCAATTCATATCAACTAAAAATGACTAAAATAAAAAAGACTGACAACATTAAACGTCAGCAAGGATGTGGAGCATCTGGGATTCTCATATATTGCTGGTGGGGTATAAAATGGTACAAGTACACTGGAGAACTGTTTGGCAGTTTCTTACTAAGTTAAACACGTACCTTTCCTATGACCCAGCGATTACACCCTTAATTATTTACCCAAGAGAAATGAAAACATACATCCACAAAAAGACTTCCTAGCAGTTTTATTCATGATAACCCCAAACTGGAAACAATCCAACTGTCTATCAACAGATGAATGGATAGAGAAATTGTAGTATAGTCAAAAAATGGAATACTACTCCGCAATGAAAAGGAATGAATTAATGATACATATAATAATATGGGCGACTCTCAAAAACATATGCTGAGCAATTCTATTTATATTAAATTCTAAAACAATGAAAACTCATCTATAACAGAAAAGCACTGGGTTGCCTGGGCCTGGAGGTGGGAGAGACTGACTGTAAAGGGGATTGGGAGGAAGATTTTGGAGTGATGAATATGTTCTATATCTCGACTGGGGTAGTGGTTACATGAGTGTATACATTTGTGAAAACTCATCAAATTATACACTTAAAATGGGTACACATTACAGCATGAAAATTGTACTTCAATAAAGTTGATAAAAAATGGGAAGGGAATGATACATATAAAACTCAGAATAATGGTTACCTTACGGGTGGAGTGAAAGCAGGGGACACAAAGGTAGTTGTAAAAGAAATGACAATAATTTAGTCCTTAGTTGGGTATTAAGTTCACAGGCCTTCATTTTGTTATCATTTGTTATAATGTATGTATGTAACATATATTATTTTTACATATAAAATATTACCTAATAAAAATAGGGGCCAGAGCAGTGGCGCAAGTGGTTAAGCGCGCGCGCTCCACTGCAGTGGCCTGGGGTTCGCTGGTTCAGATCCTGGGCGCACACCGATGCATCGCTTGTCAAGCCATGCTGTGGCTGCGTCCCATATAAAGTAGAAGAAGACGGGCATGGATGTTAGCCCAGGGCCAGTCTTCCTCAGCAAAAAAAGGAGGCTTGGCAGATGTTAGCTCAGGGCAGATGTTCCTCACAAAAAAAATAAATAAAAAATAAATAAAAATATAAATTAACAAAAATGGGTGGACTTAAGGGTCAGAAAACCAGGGTTTGGCTATGAGTTCTAATTAGTTCTGTTCCTGAATAAGTCACTTAGCTTCCTTGAGTTACTTAAAATGATTCTGCCTACCTTATACTGGCTATTGTGAGGAACAGATAAAATAATATACATAAAAGTACTTTGAATATAAAATACCAGGTAAATTACTTGAAGACTTTAATAATGGTAGATTAATTAGAAAAGTAGCGACAACAATACACAAAGAACATGGATAGAACACTCGTAGCAGGGGTAGTGATAACAGGAGGAGGAGGAAGGGGAGTAATGAGAGCAGTGAGTACGTACTGAGTTCATACTTTGTGCCAGGTACTGTTCTCAACTTTTAACATGAAGCTACTAATTTAATCCTCATAAGAATCCTGTGAGGTAAATGCTATTAGCGTCCACATTTTGGAGTTGAGGAAAGGGAGGCACAGAGAAGTTAGGCAACTTGCCTAAGGTCACACAGCTGTGAGCGGTGGAGACAGGATTCCAAGCACACAAGTTTGGCTCCAAAAACAATGTTTTTAATCATCACACAAAAAATATCAAGTTACATATTACATAAGGAGCTTAGGATCAAGGAATGTAGAGAGAAAGAAAAGGGAAAGGAAAGTTTATATTGTACTACACGTCAGACATTATTAGAAATGAGGAATATGAGGTAACACAAGGACAATGTATTAAATACAAATCATTTAAAGTAATATTTTCACATTTCTCTTTTTCTCATATTGTTATGTCTCTATGTATTTATTCACAGAATAACCAATCTGAGGAGATTAATTAATTCTGGGAGATCTGACATCTTTCTTTAAAAGATATTGTTTTATCAGACTTGGCAAGATTTCTTTCCCCAGAATTTAGTCCGCATCCTCCCCATAAGATGGTTACTAGTGAGATGTCTGTATTGTGGAAGTCTTTGATAAGCCATACAGCTTACTCAGCAGAAGCACCCTGCAGTCGATTAGAAACCAGAAGACTCGGGTTCTGGTTGTGAATCAAAGCACGAATCAAGGACTTAAACGTGGTGCCTCAGTTTCCCCATCTGCACCACATATCTCAGAGGAGAGGCCAAGCTAGAAGTCGTGCCACGCTGATGCTGGGCAGCAACCAGTGCGAGGTGTCAAATTCAAACTACCAGCCTGTAATAGCACTCCTTCCAAAATGCACAACACGGAGAAGATCTATGCCCAAACTATTTGTTAACTTCTTCCCTCTTTAAGATTTTTATGAAGCTAACTTTACTGATTTCCAACATAAAAATGACTGGAAAAGAACAGATGAGAAGAGCAGAGTACAGCAGGATTGGCCTGAGGCAATATCCCAAATTTTCCTCACAAGAGAAAAGAGGATAAAGTAAAATTTAGGGGAGAAAAAAAGGACTTTGTAAACAAAAAAATGTGAATTAAATTGAAGACATCATCATTATCATCTTATCTCTTCAGGCAACTCAGTCAAAACACCTGATGCTGCCTGGTAACTATCAGGGCACTCAGGCTCAGGAACATAAAGCCCAGGAATATAAATTAGTATTAAAATCATACATCAGGAAAAATAAACACCTTAAAACGGGCTTATCTTTATTTTCTAAAGTTTTTATAATGAATATACACTACCAGTGCAAGAAAAAAAATTTCTAAAAATCTTTAACTTTTGATGTAAGACAAAGTGGTATAAAATATGTCATAAATGCTTTAGAAATGTGTAAATGCAAATTAAAGTACATCATATGTTAGTCAACAAAAAAGGCAAGTAAATCCATTGTTATAGATAAATTATCAAGATATACAGCTTTTAAATATCAATATTTATAGAACAAATATCTGGTAAAGTGCATACAATAATTGCTGGTTTTTAAACAGAAAAGGACATCTGAATACTCCAAAACCAATTCTATTTCAGAGCATTTTTGTACAACCTTGTCATATTCTGTTACATACATATAACCAACTACTGAAAACATGGAAATAATTTTATGGTTTTATAAGAATTTAGAATTTATAATTTCTACTACTAGATACCTAAAAATAGTTACACAATATTAAAAAAATCTCACTTTTCTATTTGTCTAGGAGAGGTATATGCAAAAAAATTCCTTTGCAGCAATTCAGATGTAACACTTGTAAAATATTACAGGAGGCAGGCATCTCTTACATCCCTCTCGAACTTAAAAACATACCCGACTCTTGGGCTGTGGCTCCTCTTTCCTTTGGATCTTCAGACACCATTAATTGCGTAAAGCATTTCCCTCCCAGGGACTTTTCTACAGCTGCTAGCTAAAAAGTAAAAAAAAAAAAAAAAAAAAAAAACTTTTGGGGAAACTGTTACATTAAATTAGAAAGCTGAAAATAATTTGACAAAGGTTTCATTATTTTCTAAAACAGTCCATGCAACAGACATACGACATAACATTTTTCCTGAAAAATATTTTCAAAGAAACAATCTCTTACCTTATGTTTGGACAAAAGAGGACTGTAGAAAAAAAGAGAGAAAAAAAGAATTAAAAAAAATTTACAGCAGCAATCTGCTTCCAAACAAATGTCACTGAAATGGCTGTTAAAAAAAATACAGCTTCTCCGGATTCTAATATTAGCACAGAACATTTCCACCGCTGAAACATTACCACTGGTTCACACAGTTCAAAGTGCAACTATATCATGTGTTTATCTCCTTAGATAGACAATTACTGCTGAAAACTCTCAAAGAAGCTACAAATACTGAGACCTAGGAGAAAAAAGTACGTTAACCTTTTGCCAATAATGTATTAAAGAGTATTTCACACATATATATTTTTTACATTTTGGTTTATGTCATTATAGTCTAAAATAGATTACGGTGTAAGATAATTTTATTGGCATCATCCATGGAAACAGATAACAAAAAAAGTAATTTTTAAATATTATATTTTAGAGAATACCCAAGATAACAGAATACATATATCCACCAAAAGGCATGCACAAAAACGTTCATAGCCATTTTATTCATAATATTCAAAACCCAGAAACAATCCAAATGTCTGTTAACAATAGGAGGGACAAATAAATTGCTACAAAGTCATATAATGACTTATTCTACACAGGAATAAAACAGAGCAAATTACCATTACATGCAACAACATGTAACACGGACATAATGATGGGCAAAAGAAGCTAGATACAAAAATCTACACACAGTGTGATTACACTAACATGAAATTACAGAACAGGCAAATATACTGTTATAGAACTCAGACAGTGGTTACTTTAGGGGTCGAGGGGGTACTGACTTGGTACACGCATGAGGGAGTTTTCTGAGGGGCTAGGCTGTTCTGTATCTTGGTCAGAGTGGTAACTACAGACATATATGTATATGTAAAAATTCACCAAGCTTGTGCACTTCAATGTATGTATAACTCAAAAATATTTTTTATATTAAAAAAATTTAAGGGTAATAATTTAGGAGAATTACTCAAATTTAAAGCATAAAGATGCCCTGTTCATATCATGTGCAATAAATATTTGTTTTGTTTTGTTTTGTTTTGTTTTGTTTTTTTGAGGAAGATCAGCCCTGAGCTAACATCCATGCTAATCCTCCTCTTTTTGCTCAGGAAGACCGGCTCTGAGCTAACATCTATTGCCAATCCATCTCCTTTTTTTTTCCCCCAAAGCCCCAGTAGGTAGTTGTATGTCATAGTTGCACATCCTTCCAGTTGCTCTATGTGGGACGAGGACTCAGCATGGCCGGAGAAGCAGTGTGTCAGTGCACGCCCCCAGATCCGAACACGGGCCGCCAGTAGCTGAGCATGCGCACTTAACCGCTACACCACGGGGCCAGCCCCAATAAATATTTGTTTTTAAATAATTAAAACATTTGTAACACATTAAAAAATCATTAGTACCATGGGAAGGACAGGGAAAAGTGTCTACACTGAATATTTTGAAAGAAAACAATCTCATTTATGCATTTTAAAGGATTCCGATTATTTTAAAGCTCTATGAAGTTGAAAGTTAACCTATTTAATATGCTAAGAAATTAGGTTATAATGCGGTTTCAAAGGTTCAAACTGACTGACACAAGTAACTGCCATCACAAGAGTTGAATAGCCATCACTTCTGAATCTAGAATCATTCTTCCAAGGCTGGTCGTCAAAATAATCAGATCCAAAAGCAATTCTCTATCTGCTGCACGAGCTAACAATTACTTGGGTCTGGTTCATTATTAACAAACAGAGTTTTAGTTTACTTTTGTGATTCTGAGGGAAAAGCAGAAAAAGTTAACAGAACGCAGTCTTTCATCCTCTGTGTTGAGGACCCACGTTGCATCCCAGAAACCTGCACTAGTTTAATCACCATCATGCCCCTCACCTTCAGAATTCTGAGTCTTCAAATAATGAACTCAAAAAATATATTTAAGTGCTTTATTATTACTATAATTTAGTTTTAAAAAATCCAACTCTTTGATACAAACACAACTACAACAAATATAATTCTTTGGATACAAATCAAGCAATTAAAAATTATCTGGTAAATGTAATTTTCTTTCTGCATTATTTTGATGAAATATCATATTGTATTCACTTTCCAGTATTAGATTACTCTTAAAAATCTGTTTTTACTACAACATATAAACATTGGCAAACAACTACAATAAAAAATCCTAACACAACTTTTTCCATCTGAATTCCCTAACCTCTTACCAAACGGAGATCAAAACTAGAACTTAGGTGCTTAGAACCTATGTAAAGTTGATCTTTCACTGAATTCAATGTAAAAACCTGAGATAAAAGCTGAGAAAGGAATCTAATCACTTTATTTCATCCACTTTAATTTCTCCAGTTGAAAATATTAACAAAACAAAGAAATGGATCTTGTATTTCAAATATTCAGTGCTATAATGCTTCTTCAATATTCTATTCTAACTCATTTTAACCAAACACTGATATACTTACTCTTGATGTGTTGTGCAAAGTTTAGTAAGCCGTTCAAAATCTTCACCATTAAATCCTTTTTCTGAATTCCTTAGAGATGTGACTGTATGTGGTTGTACAGTTCTCCATTTTGTTTCTAAATGTAAAATATTTGTTAGTCACTGGCTATCACAAAACATATTTAGGAGGGAAAAAATAGTTAACTAGCACCACTTACAAAGATTGGCATGCAAAATTATCTTTTCAAACAACCCCAAAGGTAACACAATTAGAAATAGCTAAGCAGCTACTTTTCAATACAAGTCAATATTACCCCAGAGACTAAAGTAGCCAGTAGGGCATGCAAAGAGATCAGAAGAAACGCAAATAGCTACCAGTGTTCTTTTCTTGGCACTGACATGAAGAGTGAAACACAAAGAGAAATTTTTTTCTCACAATGACTTAGACTTGTGGTAAAAATGCCACTTTCTTTGCAACATTAACTTGACTGTAGAAACATTTATTTCCTGATTTACAAAACCCAGTCAAATAGTTAACTTTCTAGATAGCAGCTTGTTAGATTACAGATAATTCCACACTCTATGTTAGTCTGTACTCACCCCACTGTTCTTGAATGGCAGAAAGATTTGCGAGCAATTGCTCATGATACAATCGTTCAAGCTGAATGAATTTCATTGCTTTCTCATCTGAACAGAAAATTTGAGGAAAATAGAAATCCAGACCACTGACATTTAGCCCCGTATTTGAAGAAGGATATCTTATATAAGTTGAGAAAATTGAAGCTTACTAAAAAAATGAGAGGACTCTAAATATTTTTAAATTTCAACAAGTCTTAAGTAAGATTTCTTGGTTTTGAAGCAAATTTTAATGTTGCCTGTTATGCAGTAGCTGCTTGGGTTCCACGGTATAAGCAAACAGTAGAAACTAAAAGAAAGTTTTAATGCTCAAGGCCTGCTTGCTAATATATTTCTAACAGAGTCAATTAAAGATAATTTAACTGGAAATAGTACGCCTGCGGAATCCTGGCATCTAAGTGTTTTCCTTTTTTCTCTCCTTAAATTACTTTCTGTCAAGCAACTATGTTCCTCTTTAGTCAAGTGTTTGTTTCTGATTCCAACTCACCTTGACCCTTTACTTATTTCTCACTGAATGCTTTTCTCCCACGAAACCAAAGGATTACATGCCTAAATAAGGACAGAGCAAAACATTATATGGATCTTTTGCAAAACTTTAATTAACTCGCCACAGTGATTTTCATAATTATGTGATTCCACTCTGTAAATTTTCTTATAAACGTCTGCCTTCTCCACCTGTATCATACATTTAGCATCATATGAGGCCGTGATAAATTGTCCAACTGTCTACCTTCCTTTGGGCCATGTTCTAAACGTTGACCCAGAAAGAAGGAAGAGAAAAACTGATCAGGTTTTTGTCCTTCCTATGATCACTCAGAGATTCGGTTCTCTCTCATTTGCAGTCTTAAAGATATGCCAGGGATCATAAAACAAGCCAGGGAGAAGCAGGAACAATTCCACTTTCCTCTGCCCATGACTTAAAGTATACCAGTGTTTCTCAAACTTTACGGAACATAAAAATTATCTGAAAAGCTTGCTAAAATACACATTCATGGGTCTGATCCCCAGAAGCTCTGATTCTAAGGCACATGAATTTGCATTTCCAAGAAGCTCCCGGGATGCAGATGCAGGTCTGCACTGCACTCGATCATACTCATTATCTGGTTAAAAAAAAAAGAGTTCTAGCTTCATTTCCACCAGAATTAGATTTCCTACATACTTAGTAATAAACTGCCATTGTATGAAGTTGTTACCACAGTTTACTGGATCGAGTTCAAGGTGACAACTGCTTATCCCTCCAATCTGCTCAGAGATGTGGTACAACTCAACAAGGTGAGGAGGAAAAAGAAACTACACAAATGGAGAAAAACAGATGCACATGATACGTTCTTTCTAGATAGTATATGTTGGGCCATCCCTCAAAAAGAAAAACAATTTAAAAAAAGGGAATTTGAAAAACTGAGGGACGAAATCTTTCCCATACAAAAGTTAACATACAGTCTCACAACAACATTTATTCTGTTTGTTACTAGTGAAGAATTCAATCTTCCCTTTGCAGATACACAGCTGAAATAAGACAGTCAAGAGATTTATTATGTGTAATATGCTCGACAGGCTCTACTATATGAATATTACTTGGTTTGTACTTCTGTTTAATTCAAAAGAAAGAAAATCCAATGGAGTTTTTAATTATATTTTTCAGCAACATGTCCCCCCTCCACCCCCCACCAAACACACAAACATTTAGATTTTGGTAAACTTAGGGCTTATTTATGGAAGGTCACATTTGGGTGGTTCCAGAGAATTTCCTGGAGTGACAGAAATTCCCTACATCTTGCTTTCTGAGATGGTTACATGGGCACATACAACTGTTAAAACTCTTTGAAAACGAAAGATCTATATATTTTATTGTACGTAAATCTCAATTTTTAAAAATGAGCAGTTCTCTAAGAGTTCTACGAATTTCTTCCTGTAATTAAGAAAAGGATACAGTCTTCCTCCTGGAAATAGGACTCTGCTATCTGTTAAAAAACAAACAAAAAACAGAGGAAATTAAATTAACATTTGGATGAAAAGCCTAATTTGGAAGAAATCAAGACCTTGAAATTCTGAAAGTATTTGATATCAGTCTAATAAAACTCTTAAGTACATTCACCAGATCAGTTACTGTGACTGTAGGCACAGGACACATTTCTGAAATCACTTATCTCAAGCAAAGCGAACACAGACATTCTTTGGTCTTTATACAACCTCATTCTTCCTACTTTATTTCAAATCAAAGCAAACTTCACAGATACATTAGAGTTTAGAAGTAAGAACTCTAAAGAACAAGGAAAATGCTACAGAGGCTTATAAAGGTATAACACAAGTGAAAGAATGACTATCGTCAATTAAAAAGGTGAAATATGTCATGTCACAGGAGACCTTAAAACCACATTCATTTCATTTCTATTCCACAAACTACCTCATGGGACACTGACTTTTGGATCTGTTTTGATATTTCAGAAAAGGCCGGGCCAAGTGCTAAGAGTTGAGCAATGATGTCTGGAATATATACAAAGTGCTGCACAGTTATAAAGGGCATTGGATGGGAGTCCAGAGACCCAGGATCTGGTCCCAGTCAAGGCTTATCATGTACCAGATTCATTCTATGCCATCCTTAAATTTAAAAATTCTTTGATTCTAAAAACTTTGGAGTATTTTCTTTAGATTTTTATTTAGATGTAGCATTTATAAATAGAACAGTAAAACTGAAATTGTTTTCTGAGAAATATCTGCATAAAATGACTGCTCTCATATTTAGAATATTTCATATAAGAACTTTACACTTTTAAAGCAGTTTCCACTGATTCTTACTACACCTCTAGTAAAAAAAGGTGTTCCATTAATAGATCACTATCTCCATTTTCCAGGTAGCTGCCACTGCAAAGAGCAATAAAGTACTTGTCAAACCTATAAACTAGCAATGAGAAGGAATGGTTTTTCCAAATCCCACAATGGAAACAGCATACTTTTAAAGGAAAATATCTGCCTAGCTTAAAATTTATCTATAGATCTAACATTTTTCTATGAGCAACACAGACGACTGGATTTATCACCTCTCTGTAAATTTTTAGTATAATCTAAAGTTTGATTCCATACTTATTTTCTACTCTGAGGACTTTGCAAAGGATAAATTGATTTTCAAGATTCTGCTTGTCTTTCATCAGCTCATCGTTCTAATAGTATGTTATAATAGTACTAGTTTGAACCAAGTCAAGTTGTCAATATTCAACCATTGTTTTACCTAAATATGAGAATTTCATATACTGCAACTAGTAGTGTGCTGATAAATGTTTACTGAATAATCAGCTCTCGAGTGTTGGGGAGAGCCCTGATTCGTCTTGTTTGCTCATTTCTGTGGTGCCAATACTCCCATCATGGCCAATTTCAAGCTACCAACATGATGGACATTACCGAATACGGTTCTCATGAGTGGGGACTTGCAGACTCCAGCACACCACTGGGTTACACCATCAGAAATCAATGACAACATTTCATCTACAAACTACCAGTGAGAAATCTATAGCATGATTTCCCTACTATTTGTGACATGAGATATAGTTTCAGGTTGCCCACTAAGATGAATGTCTGGCTTTCCAAAGCTATTCCCCTTGCCTTTTTACATTTGTGCATCACTGGCACATAGTTATTTATAAATAGCTCTTATTTAAGAAGTATTGATGGGGTCCATAGCTATTCTGAACCAGATTTTCTGGCACTACATAAATATATATTTCAAATAGCTTTCAAGTTTCTGTTGCAGTTCCAATACCATAAAAACAACCATGAAGACAGGGTCATGAAACCCAATGCCTCAAAAGTAAAAGGTATTTCCAGGTAAACAGGCAACTTGAAAAATAAATATACAGGGTATTTCCCCTATAAAAACCTAACCCCGTGGCTTGTAATTAATCTTTGGGTGGGGAACATGATGTAATCGACACAGAAATCAAAATATAATGATGTACACCCGAAATTTATATAATGTTATAAACCAATGTTACTGCAATAAAAAAAAAAAGTTGTGTAGAAAAAAAAGAAAAAACCTAACCCTAGCAAGTCCAGCCAGGCAAGGGAAGATGTGATTTTCTTTGAGGTCCCATATGTCTAAATGTGGGAGGTAGCCTGGCAGAGCAGAAAGAACGTGGAGTTTGGAGGTGAATAACCTGACTGCGTTCTACTCCAAGCTCTGCCATTACCAGCTGTGACCTTAGAGATTTCATTTCACGTCTCAAGCCTCAGCTTCCTTATCTGTAAAACAAGGACGACAGTACCTGTAACTCTGTGAGACAAAGCTGCCGTTAGGATTGAATGAGAGAATGTACTTAGCATAGTGCCCAGTACCAAGCAGTAAGTGTGTAAAACGGTTTTTGACTCTGAGTCTGAACGAGAAGAAGATGCAGAGTAGAATCACATGAAAAAGTAAATTGAAAATCACTCTCGGAGGACAACAGTTTTAAGGTTATCCTGGTTTCAGGCTTCTTTTACCTACCAGGAACAAAAAACGGGAATGAGGAAGGTGTATCTTTTGGCCATAGCCTCAGAGTGGCATCAAGGATCCCAGTGGATCCATTTCCTGCCTGAGTCTGACACTAGTTTCCGTAAAAGCCCACTGACCAAAGAGCACAGCACTTGATGTTTTTATTCCCACTTCTCTATGAAAAGCTTCCAGGTTTATGACTTCAGCTGTACACTTAAAGCTAACCTGCAGTCATATTAACTAAGTCAGTCTATGAAAGATTACTCAGCCCTTTAACAGTTCCAAGAGCTAAAAACACAAGTATATATCTAAAGTAATTGTAGTCATATTTCCAATGGCCTTTAGCACATATGCATCCATACAATATCACTTTAAAAATAATAATTGTCCCCAAATTAACTCTCCTCCTTTAATTCCGTATTTCTGTTAATGGTATTACCATCCCTCCAAACTGTATATACTAGAGTTATCTCTGACTTCTCTCTCATCCCCTTTTTACTATCTACACCAAGTTCTAGTGATTCTTCCTTCGGAAGATTTCAAATTCATCCTTCTCCATTTCTACTGTCACCACCTTAACTTAGATGCTTTTCTCACCATATGCTTGAATTATAATGTCTCCTTTTAGGTCTTATGTTGGTCAACATTATGCATGTATATGGTTTAAGGAGTCCAACAGTTCTCTAAGTGCGTTAAGAAAGCCTCTGCCACTCTTGCCCTATACTCTTTTCTTCAGGAGCAAACAGATTTCTTTTATCTATTTTTTTTTAACTTCTGTATCTCTAAATATTATGCTTATATTTCTTATTTCCAGTTTTAGCAGAAGATGAGGATTGAGTCCTTTGCTCCTCCCCTACCCCTACTCTACAAACACACACACTTTCTCTCACATACTCACTCTCTCCATATTGTTACATTGCAGTGATGGGTAGATAAATATTTAATGTTTACCTTAGAATGAACCAAACTATTATTATTTTTCCTTTCCTGAAAACTTTTTGCTTTCCCTGAAGTTGCTTTTCTCTTTTCCTTCTTGTTTTTTGGCTAGTTTCCATGCATTTCTTACTTGTACAACTCCAAATAGTCCGTCAAGAGTCTAAATTTCTCTCAATATATTCGGACACATCATATACTCAGAATCAAGAAAATGATATAGAATTCTCTCTTCAGACTCTTCTGATCTGCTCTAAACAGGACTGATTATCCTCTCCTTCTTGGTACATAGCTGTCATCTTAGAATCTCCCTTCACCTGGAGATTCCCTTCACCTCTCTCCTGGGTAGCATCCCCAATTTCCTATATCTCACATCTTTCTATTACTCTCTTGTTTGGGTGGAGCATATCTTCTAGTGGTTTCCTGAGAAAGAGTAGAAAGGAGATACCAAAGGCCTGAAATAGGAACATCCTTGATATATGTGAGGAAGTGCTGGGGGCTGGTGTACCTGGAAAGGAGTGAATAAGAAGGAGAGTTCTAGGAATTAACGTCTAAGAGGTAACAGGGCCAGATCATGCAGGGTCTTGTAGGCCATGGTAATGATTTTGGCTTCTACTCTGAATGAGAAGCGAAGCCACTGGAGGGCTCTGAGCAGAGGAGGGACGTGATCTGACTTATGTTTTGTCCGATCACAGTGACTGCTGTGTAGAGGGAAACACTAAATGGAAGTAAGAGTGAAAGCAGAGAGGTTTCTACTGTGAAGAGTGAACTGCCAGGATCCAGGTGAGATTTGATGGTGCCTTGTACTGAGATGGTAGCAATGGAGGACGTAAGAAGAGATCAGATTCTGGATATATTTTGAAGTAGATCTGCAGGACTTGCTGATTAGATCTGGATGTGGGGAAAAGTAAGCAAAAGATGACTTGAACGTGTCTGGTCTCAGCAACTGGAGGGATGGAGTTGCCATTGAACAAGAGGGGGAAGACTAGGAAAGCAGTAGATTTGGGAGAAAAATAAAAATTCAATTTTGGACATCTTAAATTTGAAATGTCCATTAGACGTCTCAGGAAGCTGGATATTTAATTCTGGAGTCCAGAATTGAATCCTGAAGTACTCCAATGCTTAAAAATTAGTAAAATTTGGAGGACTCAACAAATGGCCAGAGAAGGCATGGCCAGCGAAGTAAGAGGTAAAAACCAAGAATGAGGGGGTCCCAAAAGGCAAACAAAGAAAATGCTCCAAAATAGAATATGTGATCAACTTGTCAAAGCTTCTAATAGCACCAGTACGATGAAAACTGAGGACTGATCGCTGGATTTGACAACAGGGCGGTTATTCGTGACCTTTACATGCAATTCTGGTGGAGCAGTGGATACGAAACCCAGACTGCAGTGAGTTCTAGAGAGAACTGGGTTATGGAATGTCACCTAAGCAGAATTCTTGTCCCAAATGTTTTAACCTGAATCAAATCATAAGAAATAATTAGACAAATCCTGATTATAGGACATTCTACTAGAATTCTTAGGCTCTTCATAAGTGTCAATATTATGAAATTAAAAAAAAAAAAAAAAAGTCAGGAGATTTTTCTGGATTACAAAAGACGAAAGAATCTTGACAACCAAATGCAATATGTGCTCCTTCACCAGATCCTGGATTAGGGGAAAACTAGTTATAAAGAACATTCATGGAATAACTAGAGGGAAACCTAACTATAGGCTGTATATTAAATAATACTGTATCAATGTCTAATTTCTTGGGGTTGATAATGGCATTGTAAGTATGTATATGTTCTTGGGAAATATATGTGCAAGTATTAAGGATGAAGTGATATAATGCCTGAAGATTACTTTAAAATGCTTCCATGGAAAAGATGTGCCGGGGGGCAGGGGGAAGCAGGAGCACAAATTTGGCAAAATGTCAACAACTGGTGAATCCAGGTGAAAGGCACAGTGTGAGGTGCTGGGAATCACTGAAATGAATAAAACCTCACTCCACCTCTCCCTGAGTTGAGGCTCCCTCGGGAGGTGCGAGGATATTTTCTATTTCTGGGCTGAGAAGGGCAGCCATCAGCTGACTCCCGTAGGCCTGATGTCTCAGTTTACTGCAGGCTTCAGCATCTCTTTGCTGGTCTCCAGCCTTCATTTCTAACAAGCAACCTTTGAATTAGTGACAGTGAGGATACAGTTATAATGCTTAATATTTATTTGGTTTTTACTGCATACCAAGCACTATGTTAAGTGCTTTTACCAGCATTATCTCATTTAGTCATTTACGACTTTACAGAAGAAGAAACTGAAAGTTACTTAGCTTGTTAGTAGTAGAGCCAAAGCCCATACTTTAAACCACTACTATACTGTATAAGCTCCTCTGCCAGGAGAGGATCGATTGCTGAGATATTTAAGAAGCATAACCTACAGGATTCAGCAAATCGCTATGTTCCTGGGAGACAGAGGTGGAATTTTACTTTGAGATATAAAGAAATTAAATAATCTCTTAGGCCTGATCAAGATTGTTATCATCTTCCTGCCTAAAAATGTGATTTTCTACTAGATCTGCTTTGGCTGTTGGACCACCTGCCAGTAGAAAAGAACATTCTTTTTAACAACAGCCCAGTGACACAAACTCCTTGAAAAGATCTGACTACACTTGTTATTTCCATCTTTACTCCAAATGTCTTTTTTCCCAACTTTTTATTGAAATTCTACAGGAGAGTTCAAAGAATAGTAAAATCAATAGCCATATACCTTTCACCCAGATTTGTCCATTGTTGACCTTTTGCCAAAAGTGCTTTCTCTCTCTGTCTTTCCCTCTCTTACATATTTTTTTCCACTAAAATACCTTAAGTACGTTGCAGGCACTGTGTCACTTTACTCCTAAATACTTGCAGATGTACCTCCCAAGAACAGTGATACTCTCCTACATAACCCACAACTCCATTATCAACCTCAAGAAATTAGACATTGGTGCAAATTTATTTAATAAACAGCCCACTTTCAAATTTCTCCAAAGTTGTTCCAAAAACAGATGCACTGAATGGAATAAACAAATTCTAGCCCCAGAATTATATGGAACTTGCTTTATGAAGGAGTCTCAGTTTTCTTATTTGTAAGCAGATGAAGCTAATACTTACATCTAGGTTGTTGGGAGAATGAAATAACAATAAGCTTGAATACCCTTTGCAAACTCAATCCACTGTACAAAAGGAAGGCTGAAAGATTAGAAAGCTGCCTTGGTGTTGGTGTTTCTCAACTATGGCAAGTTAGTAACACAACAGAGGTCAAAAAGCAGTACAAATTTTCTCAAAGGCATTCTTTAAGTTGACAAAGGAGGTTATATACATTTGTAAGAATATACATTTTCCTGTCTTGGGAAAAAAGCTATTTTACTTTTTAAAAATTAAAAATTACTCACTGTACGTTGCAAAAATTAAAATGAAACAGAAGTAAATGAAATAAAAAGTGAAGCTTTTTCCATTCCCATATACCAGCTATTTTTATTTTAATGGAAAATAAAATACAGCTCATAAATATCTTAATTTTTCCTGAATTAGCTCTTGTGTAAAAAAGCTTCCTCTTCACTGTCCTAAAAGCCTCCCAGTCTCCAAGCTCTCCATCACCTAATTTACCCTCCCAGTCATCAGAAAAGTTATTTTTCTAAAATTCAAATTTGATTCTGGCACTCCCATACTTAAAAACTCCCAGTCCCTAAAAGTAAGGCCTTAACGTCACCAGCTATCCAATCTTCTTTCCCATCTCTTTTCCATCTTCACCTCCAACAATATCCCAGCCATGCCTTTGCACTGGCTGACCTAGATGAACTAGATCACTTTGCTCATCTAGTGAGTGCCTACATCTCCTGCAAATCCCAGCTCAAGAGTCACCTTCTTTGTCCCTAATGCCTACCGGACAGTTAATCATGCATTTTGTGCTTTTGCTGAATCTTAAACATATGTCTACTCTAACACTTAACACAGACTTCTACAATGATTTGTCTGTTTAACTGTTTCTCCTATTCCTTAGTGGCTCTCTTAAGGACATACTCTGTTAAGTGATCTTTGTTTCCCCAGTGTCTAGCATGGTTTTTGGCACCTAGTTGGTGCTGACTAAGTGCTTGCTACATTGACTTTTACTTGCACACAGCTTATTCATTAAATAAAAGAAGTCAGTGATTGTTTGAATTACAGACTGATTATCCAAGACCAATGTGCGGCCACCAGTCAGTAATATGCCAAATTTCCCACCAGCCACTGATCTAGGGTCACCTTCTCCTGGGCTCACCAACAACAGGTGGGGTAGAATCAATTACAGAGCATTGGATTTTAGATTATTACAAACATTGGTCCCAGGATTTCAGTGAGGCTGAAAGTGAAGGGTTTAATGTAGTACCTGATGAAGGCAAAGGGGAAGTGCTCTTGAGTCCAACTGCTCAACTTCACCTCGTATAAGTGAGAACAGAGACTGCAGAACTAGCTTCGGGGCTTCTGGTGGATCATTAGCATTTACTTCAGCAGACTCTTCGTCGCTAACAGCATGTGTGGTTGCACTTAGTACATTTTCTTGCATTAAAGGTGTGGTACCTCCTGAAGAAAGTTCTTTAAGAAGTAAATAAAACGCCTGTTAGGATAGATTTCCATCATGGTGGCACACCTTAAAACAGTAATGCCTGTTAGCCATAAAATTTTCAAATAAAACAAATTATATGAAAAAACACAAACACACAACAGAAACCATAAGCTATTGTCCTGATTAACATTGTGCTGACATCTGGTTGCTTCCATTAACACACACACAAACCATTTTTTGCAGAATTATTGTTGAGAGTATTAATAAAAAGAGATTTAGAGAAAAGTATGCAGATTAAAACCTGACCAAAATCTTGATTCTCCCAAAGGAAAAATGGATTAGCTGTAATTTGAAGCTACTTGCTCAAAATACTCCCTGAAAAAATACTCTGTGCCTTTCTGAGCAATTACAGATTCTAACAGTTGGAATACTTTCCTCCCATCTGTGCCTATTTATGTTCCACCCTAACAAAATCCACGCACTTCCCTATAACATAGGACTGAAGCAAACTTATTTTCCTCTGAATCCTGTTTATGGCCCTCTATTATGCTGGGTTGCATTATAGTAAGTGATGTAAGGTCTCATCTTTATTAGATCATAACTCTTGCAGCATAGGGATTAATTTATGTACCATGGTATCCCTACTATTTCCAGTGTCTTCAGCACTAAAATGCCAAGTACTGTGCTTTTTTTAAAAAAAAAAATCACCTACAGTGATTCCTTATATTTTAGAAAATTCTCTTCTAGGAATTTTATGTCATTTGGTCTCTGGAAGTACAAGGTCCAGTGATGGCCTTCCATTTTGCAAGGACGGTATTTGTGAAAACATGGGTGTTTCTTCTACTTTCTAATTTTCTTTCTTTTTTTTTTTAAATTAATTAATTAATTTATTGCAGTAACATTGATTCATAATATTATATAAATTTCAGGTGTACATAATTATATTTCGATTTCTGTATAGATTACATCTTTTCTAATTTTCTAACCACAATGGCAGTAGTGCCAATGTGGGAACAGAAGCTTTCCATAGAGAACTACAAAGAAACTAAGAAAACTACTGTTTTATTTCCCTTTTCCCTAGCCACACAACTATGCCCAAGATATTTAATCTCTCTTAGACTGTGATAAGGCTAGCCTCCCAAATTCTCTACTTCCCTTGATTAAATTCTTATCACATAGTTACCAAATATTACTCCAGGCTTCTTCTTTAAAAAAAGGTTTAAATTTAAAACGCTCATTTTCATAACAGGGACTTAAATAAAATCCTTGAAGAATATTACCAAAGAAAGACAGGATTCTTTTTTTTTTTTTTTTTTGTGAGGAAGATCAGCCCTGAGCTAACATCCATGCCAATCCTCCTCTTTTTGCTGAGGAAGACTGGGCCTGAGCTAACATCCGTGCCCATCTTCCTCTACTTTATGTGGGACGCAGCCACAGCATGGCCTGACAAGCAGTGCATCGGCCCGGATCCGAACGGGCCGCCAGCAGCGAAGTGCACACTTAACCGCCACGCCACGGGGCCGGCCCCAGGCAGGATTCTTAAAGGTAAGAAAAAAGGACAGGGGCCGGCTCTGTGGCCTAGTGGTTAAGTTCGGCATGCTCTGCTTCCGCGGCCCAGGTTCGCAAGTTCAGATTGTGGGCATGGATCTATACCACTCATCAGCCAAGCTGTGGCGGCGAACCACATACAAAATAGAGGAAGATGGCACAGATGTTAGCTCAGGGCTAATCTTCCTCCAGCAAAAAAGGAGGAAGATTGGCAACAAATGTTAGCTCAGGATAAATCTTCCTCAGCTTTGAAAAAAAAAAAAGGACAGATTTTATGACTCCCTTACCTAAAGGGGATCAAAAAAGGGTCCTGAATAATGGAAACAGAAATATGCATTTGATTATCTTCAGTTATTTAGACAGTGTAGATTCATAATGGTCACAGTTCTTGCTAGGTCCATTTTCTAAGTTATTTTAATAATTAACGTATGGATAAGTAAAATTTACAAATAAACAATGCATCAGTATATAAAATTATGTAGTGAACAAAAGAAATTTCAACAGAAAGAATATCAATCATAAAACATAACCAACAGAACTCTCAAAAGCCTACAGAAGTCCAAGGATTCTAAGAGCAACAGAAGGCTAATGTGAACAACTAGAAAGAATATAGTACTCTAATCACCAAATGTAGGGAGGGGATGGAAAATATTAACTAGGCTCAGAAGGGTCATTCCAGATAGGTTAAGAGGTCAGGGAAACTTGCAAGGCTCATAGCACAAAAGGATTATCTATCAGGGCTTGAAGATCACGAGCTTCAGAGAAGATTTAACTACAAAACCACCTGACCACTTGAGACAACATTCCTTGCTTGGACAGAGTAGTAAAAATCAAAGAGCACTGCAACAGGAGCAAGAGATTTAAGTTCTGTCATTATTTTCTAGGTGACCTTGGATTAGACACTTTATTCTCTATAGTTTCCTCATCTTGAAGAGAAAGGGATTGACTAGATGAGATCTCAGGTCCCTCCTAGATCTGATCATCTCAAACACTTGAAATCTCCATAGCGATTTTGGTATTTAAGAAATGTAGCCAGGCTGGCCCCCATGGCCCCAGGCCTTCCCCAGGGCCAGGCCACCCCCTGAAGACCCAGCCTCCAGGCCAGCACTCATGGCCCCAGGCTCCAGGTTCACCCCAGATTCAGACCACCCCTGCTGACCCAGGCTCCAGGCTGGGTCACTCAACACAGACTCCCAGCTCACATCAGAGCCAGGCTGGCCCTGACAGACTGAATTGTCAGGCTCACCCCAGTGGTCCCTGGAATCTGGTCAGCCCCGAAGGACTCAGAATCTAGGCTCTCCCACAAAGACTGCCAACCTGCTGACCCAGGCACCAGACTCGCCCACCTAAGGACTCCAACACCAAGGCTGCCCATGGACACTACCAGATGGACCACCCAGAATCTCTGCACAGGCTGAGTGGTGAAGGACCTTCCCTGCCAAAACCATTCTGTAAAGACGACTTCTTCAAATGCACAGACACCAATGCAAGGCCATAAGGATCATAAATAATCAAGGAAACACAACACCACCAAAGGAAACTAATAAAGCTCTAATAACTGACCCTAAAGAAGTGGAGATCTATGAACCACTGGACAAAGAATTCAGAACAATCCTCTTAAAGAAATTCATGGAACTATAAGAAAATATAGATAGACAAACGGAATTAGGAAACCAATGCACGAACAAAATGAGAAATTCAATAAAGAAAAAGAAACACTAAAAAAAATCAAACAGGAATTCTAGAGTTGAAGAATTCACTGACTGAACTGAAGAATTCAATAGAGAGCTTCAACAGCAGACTCAATAAGCAGAAGAAAAAATCAGTGAACCTGTAGACAGGTCATCTGAAGTTATCCATTCAGAAGAGCAAGAAGAAAAAAGAACGAAAAAGAGTGAAGAAAGTTTACATGAAATATGGGATACAATTAAGAGAAACAATCTACATATTATTGGAATCCCAGAAGGAAAAGAGAGGGAGAAAGGGGCAGAAAGCTAACTTAAAGAAATAATGGCTGAGACATCTCCAAATCTGGGGAGACACTTGGACATCCAAGTTCATGAAGCTTATGGGTTCCCCAAAAGTTTCAACCTAAAAAGATCTTCTCTAAGACACATTATAATAAAACTGTCTAAAATCAAAGAAACAGAGAGAATTTTAAAAGCAGCAAGAGAAAAAAAAAACTCCTCCCACACAAGAAAACCCCCATAAGACTATGAGTCGACTTCTCAGCAGAAACCCTGCAGGCCAGGAGAGAGTGGATATTGGAAGTGCTGGAAGGAAAAAGCTGCCAACCAAGAATACTTTATTTGGCAAAGTTGTCCTTCATAAATGAAGGAGAGATAAAGACTTTCCCAGACGAAAAAAAGTTGTGAGAGTTCATCACCACTAGATCTGCCTTTACAAGAAATGCTAAAGGAAGTTCTTTAACTCAAAATGAAAGGATGCTAACAACAGAAAAACATAAAAGTATAAAACTCAGTGTAAAGGTAAGAATAAAATCAGAATACTCTAATACTGTAATGGTGGTATGTAAATCACTTTTAACTCTGGTATAAAAATTAAAAGACAAAAGTATTAAAAATAACTATAGCTATAATGAAGTGTTAAGGGCTACATTATATACAAAAGACGTAAATTATGACATCAATAACATGAAATGTGGGAGGAGACAAATTGTAGTGTTTGATTGTGGTAAAAGTTAAGCTGCTATCAGCTTAAAATATACTATTATATACATAAGATGTTTTATGTAAGCCTCATGGCAACCACAAATAAAAAATACATAGCTGATGCACAAAAGAGAAAGAGAAAGAAATCAAAGCATACCATTAAAAGAAATCATCAAATAACAAAGGAAGACAGAAACAGATGAAGACAGGAACTATAAAACAGTCAGAAAACAATTTACAAAATAGTAATTATAAATCCTTACCTATCAGTAATTACTTTAAGTATAAATGGATTAAATTCTCCAATCAAAAGACACAGAGTGGCTGAATGGATTAAAAAAACAAGACCCAACAATATGTTGCCTACAACAGACTCACTTTAGCTTTAAGGACACAGATAGGCTGAAAGTGAAGGGATGGAAAAAGATATTCCAGAGCCAGCCTGTTGGTGTAGCAGTTAAGTTTGCATGCTCCGCTTTGGTGGACCAGGGTTCGCAGGTTTGGATCCTGTCACAGACCTAGGCACCGCTTATCAAAGCCATGCTGTGGTGGTGTCCCATACAAAATAGAGGAATATGGGCACAGATGTTAGCCCAGGGCCAGTCTTCCTCAGCGAAAAAAAAAATAAAAAAAAAAAACGAGGAGGAGTGGCAACAGATGTTAGCTTAGGACTAATCTTCCTCAAAAAAAAAAAAGAAAGAAAAGAAAAAGATATTCCATGCAAATGGTAACCAGAAGAGAGAAGGAGTAGCTATACTTACATCAGAGAAAATAGATTCTAAGTCAAAAACTGTCAAAAGAGACAAAGA